CTGTGGGCAAGTTAGGCAACTTATATGTTCTTTGACCACTTCCTAAGCTTTTGTTTTGACTTTAGCTGCCGGGCGAACAATCCATGCGCATGATGAACTTTATTTTGCCGCTGCTCAAGCTCTCCAATCGCGTGCGCGATGCCCTGATTGATGTGCTGCGCAAAGCCATGACCAAGTGGGTGATTTCGAATTATTGTGAAATCTTTGTATTCATTTCGTTTACTTCCTTAGAGACTATCGCACACGGCGCATGGCCATTTTCGGTTATTGCATGATCCTCAAGCAGCTGAACAACAGCAACTCGGCGCGACAATCACAGAATGCGACCAGCTTCTGCACACAGCACAGCATTTCTGGCTACTCGATGATGACGCAGAGCTCCTTTGCCACCCGCAGCAATCCGCAGCGCAATTTTGATATGCTCACCTTGGAAATTATTGGCATATTGCGCAGCTGCTTTGAACAGCAACTGGGCATACGACGTACGCTGTACGAGAGTGAGTGGGAACATTGCATAGTTTAGGACATCCAATTAAGCCTGATTCTGCTCTTTCACAGATCTTCAACGTGCTGTTGAACTGAACGCCAAGCTGGTGCCTCATGTCCTGCAGTTCGTTGACTTTCATTTTCGTGGTTTTTTCGATACGCCGGCAGCTGGGGATCAGGCGGCTGATGATTTGGACACAAATTTTGCTATAAATTATGAACGTCTTGTCAGTGTTAAGGATGATCAGCTGGAGCTAAAGGATAATCTGGGCTGCTTGGTTCAGTTTATTTCCCATTGTTTGGCTATTTTTGAACGTGCGCCTTATGGCTGCGATGTGCGTGAGCTGCAGCGACTGCTGACAGTCTGCACGCAACGTTTGGTGACCAAACGGCTGCCTCTGGAAGACACCGTGAGTAGCTATAATCCCAGCTTAAGAATTGCATTGACTTTCCCTGCTCCTTTTAAGGCACCACCAGCTACACATTTGAAGTGTGCACGTATTCAGCAGCAGCTAAATCTCATCGAGGGACTTATCTCGCATTCGCTGCTCAGCTCGAAGCCCGGCAATGATGCCTTGCGACAGGTGCTGCCGCTGTTTAAACAGCATCAGAAGCTGCTTAAGGATCTTGGTGCATTGGCAGACACCTCGAAAAAAGCACAGAAAAATGCGAAGCAGCCAACGACCAACGACAGCAACGTGACTGTTAACATTAGTGTGAACACGGTCAAAATAAAGAAAATGTGCACGCAGCCGGAGAATATTTGGGATCTAGCAATAATCGAAAGGCTGCTCCACACGCTACATGAGTGGGTGTCACATATATATATGTAGAACTGATCACCATAAATAATTTGTATTCTCTTTTCAATTTAGCGACCATGTGCCCTTTGCCAGTGCGGCAAACACCGCACCTTTGCGCAGTCATGAGCCGCTGGTGCGTTATGTGCTGGAAATTGCGGCCCAGAAAGTGCAGGCCATACGCGAGGAGCCGGACTATAAGCAGCTCTCCTATAGCAAGCGTACCCTGAAGCTGCTGACTGACATTTCGAAGGTAATATATGAGCGCTGCATACAACGTCTGCCCGAACTGTGGCAGGATTTCGATTTGGAGAGTGCCGTGCTGGCGGCCAAGTGTTTTATGCAGTGCACTCGCACGGCGCACGAGACATATGTCAGGCGTTTCAAGGAGTTTGTTAAGGGTTTCGGTAAGCAAAATATGCTTAAGATAATTTACGTGATATAAAATAGATTTTTTCCAACTCCTCGCAGACATGGCCGTCATTAACAAAAGCAAGGAAGTTACCTATGTGCTGCAGGAAGTGCTGGTGCAGTATATGAAAGAGGATGCCACAAATGGTGCCAACACGCAGCCACTCAGTACTGACAAAAACGGCGCTAAACTGCCCGTTTATTTGCTGGAGGCGCTGGAGCTATTCTATGACCACATTGACTATGGAGAGCGAGCGGCAATTGATTCATACACTTGGCTGCTCGACTTTTGTCAGACATACGAGCTGCACAACCCAGAAATGGGTTTATTGCATCGCATGCTATTCACACAGCGCCAGAAGACGCATTCCGGTCCGTTCTTTGATGCAGTGGCCAGGCAGCTAGGCAAAGTGCTCGGCTGGCAAAATGATGACAACGTCTCGGAGCAGTCGGATTTGGGCCTAAAGTCGCTTGATATGAGTACAACTGCCACCTGCCTGCAGTATTTGTATGCGGCGGTGCAGAAACAGCTGGAAGATGTGGAATACTTTGTCATCAAGGCAAACAATTTAAATTATAAATGCAACATTGTGCCCGAGACCGATCGCGTCTATTGGCGTGGCAATTTGGACACATTGGAGGGTTCCATTTGCGCTCAGTTAATACTCATAACACGCACACTGCTGGAAATTACAAATGTGTGCGTACCGCTGGGCAATCACATGGATGGGCTAATGAAGCTGCTAATACAACATTATACGTGCCTCAAAAATCTGGCTAGACACTATTTGGGCAGCAGTTCCGTCAAAAGCAGCAAGTGAGTTGTGGCTATGCGGATGATCTTTCGATTTACTAACTTCTATAAACTCCCTCCCAGATTCGAGCAGCTGCTGCGCAATGTGGGCAAGCCGCTGCCCGCGAACATCTATCAGCTAATTTCCTATGTGGAGTACAATATTCTGGACGAGCAGGCACAGCAGCCGGCCGTAAAGCGCAAACCGCAGGCGGAACGCGCCAAGGTGCTGCGTGAGACGCGTCTCATACCCAAAGTCATATTGGCCATCGAGAATTTCAACAAGCATATTATATTGCTGTCCAAGAAGTTCAAAACTTACGATCGGCTGTCGGATTATCTGCACTTTGGCGCTGTGCGCGATTTTAATATACAATCAGGTGACCTGAGGGCTGTCATTGAGCGCACCTATTCGCACAGCAGCCAGATTGAGGTGTCCGATAGCAATTTGGAAGTGCCGGATGAAGATGAGGAAGAGCAGGAGCCTGAGCAGCAACAGGAGACCGAAGAAGATGATAATGATGATGATGAACATGAGCCGGAGCAGGAGCCGGAGCCGCCTAAAAAGCAACGAGAAACCGCTCAGAAAAACCAACGAAGACGACGCGTTCTCACCAGCGATGCGGCGGCAGAGGAGTCACAGCCGAAACGTAGGCGTGGACGTTCCAGCAAGAAATAAGAGCGAGCATTGAAGGATGCCTTTTCTATGGGGATGTGGGCAGCACGTGTGCCTCCTTCTGTGCCACATCATCAGCGACGACTCGCAAATATCCATTTAAGTTTTTAACTTGTGTTTTTATGTACTTTCGCGCAAATTTGATGCCCGCACGCAATAGAGGAACAGCACATCTACGGGTCGAGCCATCATTTTATTGCACTTGAAAACTTAATTAGGCCAAAATGCGGTGTGAACGCCTATTTTTTTCATTCTGTGTATATATGTATATGTATGTATCAACGTGTTTCTCTGCAGCTGTGCGAGATTTTTATTACATGCATCAAATGTAATTTGTTACCAAAATTTGATGTGTTTCTATCTTCTTAAAAACGGCATAAATAAAAGAAAACTTGCACTGGCAGGGGATGGGGGTTTTGGGGGTTGCAACTGCTGCTCGTGATGGCCTGCCAACTGTTTTCCTTTTTTTTTCGACTGCCCCCTCTCTTTTTGGCCATCATTTAAATGCGTGGCAGGTTTTATGGTCAGGTAACTTTTGAGCTTGGCCTCGTATCAAACTCAAATCTAACATAGTAACTTAACGGATATATTAAAGGGCCTGTATTTGAACTACTTGTTGGATTAAGTTGTGGAAATTTGCTGTTGGAATGTTTCGGAGTGCCCCCCTACCCTCTTGTGCTGTGGCCGCAGCTCGAGCGTGCATTGGGTGTCAAGGGTCAGCGCGCTTTAAGAAGCGCGAGGGGGTTGGCATTGTGACTATTTGTGGTTGCAGCAATTGTTTCTCCATTTTTTGTATGCACACGGTTAGCTTCCTGCAGGCCCTTTACTCATCCATCTGAGCAGGAATATGTTGCCTTTTGTCATCGAAAAAAGTTGTGGAAATCAATTGACTCGCTTTGTTCTATCGTTCGATTTGGGCATGAATGGATGCAACTCTTAACTCTATATGAATCAATTTGATATTTAAAAGTGGGCAAGTTTTCGAGTGCATTTCCATTCACTGGTTTGGGACAATAAAGAATTTAGCCGTAGTTTATTTAGTTTCATTTTGAATCATTTAACTTTGGTTTGGATATTTGAATAGATAGAACAGGAGGGGAAATAAATTCACTTTTTTATGTGGGTTTTTTACGGTTTTTATTAGAAAAATATTTTTTTGACTATACTTGTGTACAGATTGTTTTGGGATTATTATAATAATGTTTCACAATTTCTCAACACGCGAGTTCTTTTTTTACGTCCCCAAGTGACGTCATCTGCCCCCTCAGCCGCTCGTGTTGCTCTGTTTGCTTCGTTAGCAAAAGTTGAAATTTACATTGGAAAAACATAAATATTTTGTTTTTCTTTGGCGCCGTGTGATATTCGTATTGTTCTCTCTCTAGTTTGGTGACATTTTCGTGAATTGTTAACAAGTTTAGCGCCAGGCCAAGTGTTTGGTTTTCAATTGCCTTCACGCTGCTCACCTCTCCACATACCCCCTCCCCCCCTGACCACATTGGATGGGGGTGCCTAAATTTATTATTCAAATTTCCTCAGTTGATTTGCTTGCATTTATTATTAAACATTACAGGCGCGATTTGAGCATTGTTTTTAATTCACTTAAAACTACATAAATTTTACTTTACATGCAAGCCGCACTCACGTGTCCCAGGGCCAAGAGCCCGGGCCAGTGCGTTAAATTTCCAATAGATACAAAGATACAAATGTATCTACGCGTGCTTTCGGCTTTGTCGCGTCGGAACGCGCTGTTCCAAGCGCTTAGTTCACGACGCTGCGTTTTAATTCAATCAAAAGACGAGCTCGCGACTTGACGAATCTTTAGTCGATCGCTCGAGCGCAACGGCAACGGTTCACTTTCGGTTTCACTGGATCGCAGATCGGCTGGCTTTAGCTACAATCTATATATCTCGGTCCTTCAGCTTAATTCGCGCGAGTAGCTGGGTTGAATGCATCTCAAGATGTTTGCTGATCGCAGCTCCAAATTGTTGCTGCTACTGCTGCATATGTTGGCATTGTGCCACTGGAGCGACGCCAGGTTGCGTGAGTATATTGCATATTGGGAAAATACGTTAGGGAAAATCACACCAGCTGAAGGTCGAACATCAGTGATTCATCAGTCACCAATCAATCAATCAGTCAGCTGTGAGAAGGCTACGCAGTTGGAATACTTAGATTGGAATATTGCCTTAGCAAGAATATTTTTAGTTCGATCTTTAAATCTATTAGTCAACCTAGGCTCCAAATACTTCTACTCCTCAATACATTTCTGGGCTAACAATATTAGGAGGTATAGGTTTTCAGGACTTTCTGTGCTCTTTTTGTGCTACCCAAATATCATTACACTTCGTATACGTTTATATATTCTTCAAGTTTAAAGCCTATTTCTTTAATAGCATCGAACAAATTGCGTTCATACACTCAGAGAAAAAATCAAGAATTTCGTACATTGTTCAAGTACAAAAAATGTCAATAACTGGCAAGAGTTTTACGACGGGGATAAATCTATATAAGGTTGTGGCTCTCATATCACTTTTGCTTTATTATTACGGAAGCTATTGTTGACTAAGCCAGACAGCCTTCGTCTTTTAGCCATACTATTAGACCTAGCCTTCCAGCAAAAGGGCCAATGAACTGAGCCAAATCAAAGCAACTATTTCGACAATAATTGCAATAACAACAACTCGTCGATTGCAGCTGTTGCGCATATTAATTATGCTCGTCGTGAAGCCGAAGGTTCAACAACTAATCCACACATATAAAGTACATATAGATATATAGTACCGGCCGCTCCGTAGAATTGCAAATGCAGCAAATGTTGCTTGTGAAGGTGGCACGTTCTATGATCAAGGTCACAATTGGACATATTTTGTACATATTCGAAAAACAAGAAGGAACTCCTATGTGATATGGTGCTTTGTCTAGATATATGAATCTAAATAGTAAATCTTAATTAAGACCGACATGAAAGCCATGTCAAACGGCTGGCTCTAAAATGTGTAGTGCCTGTTGCAGAAAGGCTGACTTATGCTTTAAACTGAGAGACTATAGACTTCGATTTTGATCCTGTTCAAGAATATATATACATCATGGGGTCACATCTGTCTCCTTCCATTACAATATCCTCCATAAGGCTTTAAAGTCCTCCCTATTATAGCTTCTAGCATAAGACCCTGTGCTCGAGATGATCCTCAGCTGGAGCGCTGCATCATAAATGCCGTCTATAATTTGCGGCCTCTTCTGGTGCATGGCAATCTGGGTGATGGCTATTACACACCTCCTTTGGAGCCGCTGCAGCTGGACAACATTGAACTGGGACGTAGCAGCCAGTTTCAGGCCACGTTTACGGACCTTGAGGCCACAGGTGGTAGCAATTTTATCATCGATCGCATTATGTGAGTGTCACTGAACCCAAAGTTTGACAAGCACTGCTCTATAGAACGATTTCAGCGCCAAGCCCCAGGACATCTTGTATGATCTGTGGATAACGCTGCCACGCATCGACTTTAAGGGCAAATACTTTATGCGCCTCAACCTGCTGCTGCTGGACATTCAGGGCAAGGGCAATATGCGTGGCTACTGCGGTGCGTAATTCCCTAAATACCCTATATAAAACCTTAATTGAACTTCGAAACCCAAACTTCCACAGATAATGCCAAGGCGGCAGTAAAGATGCGCGGCACGCGCTATCTGAGAAACGGTCTCGAGTACGTCAAATTCACAAAGATGACGATGAGAATACAGTTCAAAGATTTCAAGCTGCAGCTGGACAATCTCTTTAATGGGGATCGCATACTTGGCGAGGTGGGCAACACACTAATCAATGACAACCAGGAGCTGTATCTGAACGAGATTGTGCCGGGCCTGGAGCGTGGTCTGTCCAAGAAGTTTCTGGATGTGGCGAATGAGATTTTGGCAACGGCGACTTTTGATGAAATGTTTCCGCCTGGACGCACCGTCATCAATCCCATACATTTTCCCAATCCGGCCGGTAGTTCAGGCGCTGCGCCCGGTCCGTCCATATTCGAGACGTCTTTCTCCTCGCGTAATCCGGCAGGCGGCATTTTGGATCAGCTGCCGCCTAGGAGCAATAGTCGTAATCCCTGGCCTAAACAGCCCACAAACAATCCAGGGGGCGGCATTTTTGGCGAACTTACGCCTGGTGGAGGCATCATTGATCCCAGATTGAATCTCGGCAGTTAGGTTGAGTGTGTTGTTTGTTTTGGAATTTATTTCTAAGCAAATAAAGTTATTGTTATTTTTATTGAACATGCCACGCTGTAATTATCCACCCGCAAGCGTAGAAAATTGATGGAAACCAGCTATGTACAACTGTTTAAAGAGCTTTGTAAAAACTAATCAGAGAAGTTTTCGGAAAATCCAAATCTCTTGAAGCGTTGGCTGAGCGATAATGCAAGCATTTAATAGTTGAAAGCACTCGCTAATAGATCAAAGTTCTTGGGATGGAGAGTACGATATGGACTCCCCGGCACCTAATTTCGGCTCTGACTGTGGGCAACGTTGAATTTTACCCGAGCGCCAATTTTGACTGTTAGGCACCTGAAATTGGCTCTGACTGTGGGTACAGTTGCCTCTTACCCGAGCGCTAATTTGGCTAAGAGCGCTTAATGTCTTACTCCATTTGCTTGTGCTGGCTGAAGAAGCCTGGCAAACTTTTTAATCCACCGCAAAGCTTGAACAGTTTTGCATATTAAGCGCAAAGTTTGCGACTATACAACACCAGGGGGACACTTTAAGGGCGGACAAACACACACACACATACACACTCACACACACAGCCCTGCTTGGTTTTACACCTGTTCAATGGGCATAGGGACAAACACGTGGCCAGCTTCGCGTCTTGTGATTAATCACCGGCAGCGACAAAGATGAATTTACAAAGATTTTGCCAGCTGCAAAGTTTTTATTCTCGCGTTGGGCAGTTAATTGTGTTAGCCGTAGATGAGGCTGGGCCCAGAGCGAAGCAAGAAGAAGAAGCAGCAGCAGCGGCAGAAAAAAGTGTTGGGCAGCGCTAATTAAATTCATGGGACGCAGCTGTCGGGGCAAAAAGCATTATCGACTTTTAGGCGCTGAATATTTCAAATGAAAATGTTTTTGATGTAAACACAGGAGCAGCAGCAGCAACAGCAGAAGCAGCAGCAGTTGCTCTCGACCTACGTCCAGTTGCTGTCGAGTCAAAGGAAACCCTTGGCAACTGCCATTTTGGCCAAGTTCTGGTCGCCCGTGCAGTGTCGCCCGAGCCGACATTAATTTCATTTATTAATTTTTAACTACGCCCGCGCACCAAAATAAAAGCAACTTGATAAATGGGCGGACCAAAATTTCAAATCTTTCGCGTGGCACATTTTGCTTTTACTCTAATTTTTTTCTTTTTTGGGTTTCTTTTGTGCCGTCCCCCCATCTGGCAAGCGCTTCCTTTTTTTAAGGGGGCAACGTTTTTCGCGTTTGCTTTGTTGTTGTTAATTTTTTTTAATTCTTTGCTTTTCACTTGAAAGGCGCTCCACAAATGTGAAGAAGCGCCGCGGTCCGCTAATGTCCTTTCTTTTATCATTATGTAGACAGCAGCGTGGGCGACTTGGGGTTGCTGCCGAGGCCGAAGCCGTGCCGAGGCGTGGCAAGCGGCCATCAAGGCACTGTCCTGGGGTTGCCGGTGCACAGGTATTTGCGGCCATTAACGAACAAGTAAGCGCTGTCGGCTTAAAGTTCTAAGGTTGCGCCGATGGAACAAAGTAGATAACGAACAAAAATTATATGATTCGCTCTCATAGAAATTACAAATATAAAAGCCAAAAACTGAGGACCAAAATTGATATTTTAATAATTTATAAATGCGTGTGGAGACAATTAAAATTAAACATTTATGTGCTGCATGTGTTGAGTTACCAAATAACTAACAAATAAATAAAAAACAAAGCTTCAAATAAATCGCAATGCATTAAATAATGCTAAAAACGAGTACCATGCTCAATATATTGAGCCACCAGTGTAAATATGTCTCGGGATTGTGGTAAGTATAAATAAAGTATGTTATTTCGTATACCACGCTTTTAGTTTATACTTTTAATACTAGCAGTTTTTAATTTACATTTTACCATAAATAAAGAAAGATGAATCACGTGCATATGCGACTTGTAGATACCATATAATCCGTTTACAAAAACCTTTTCACAAAAAATTACAGACAAATAGGCTAAGTTAGATTCAAAAAACATTTCAATTTAGAATATTTTCAAAATACCAGTCGTTGTACAACACTTGCTGTTATTTTATACAAACCAAACCAAACTGCGATTCGCCAGAAAATTCTACCTTATTTTGGCCTTCAAGTATTGGAATATTATAGAGTATTGATATATAAACATTTGTGATAATGGGCACCTGTGTGCGTCGTTTCTTCTGCCCCAATAAGCCAGTCTACAGCAACGGCTGTCGCGCCAAGTTCGTCTATCCCGCCGGAGGCACCTATACGGGCTACTGGCGGCAGAACAAGCATCATGGCTGGGGCGTGAAGACGACTCCAGAGCGCACGGCCAGCTACTTTTCGATGAAGAAACAACCGGACGGACAGCTCATCTACAATGGCCGCTGGTCGGAGGGGAAGCGACAGGGTTGCGGCTCCATGATACGCAAGCGCGGCACAGATCTGCAAGTGATCTACGCGGGTCAGTGGTACGACGACATGAAGTGCGGCGAGGGCAAACAGTTCTATCCGGATGGATGTGTTTACTTCGGTCGTTGGCTGCGGAATCGTCGCCATGGCATGGGCATACAATGGTACGGCGATGGCAGCATCTATGTGGGCGAATGGGAGACAGACTTTAAGCATGGCCTGGGCGTGCTCTTCTATGGTAAGGCAGATAGTTCTTCGAAGCCCTGATCTAGACAAGCAGCAATCTGATTCCCACAGCTAATGGCAATCGCTATGAGGGACATTTTGCACGTGGCTACAAGAACGGCGAGGGCGTCTTCTATCACATGCACACCGGCCAGATCCAGAAGGGCATTTGGGAGAACGACAATGCCAAGGTATCGGTTATGCAAGACGAGCCGGAGATCAGGCGCAACGATGAACCCACACCCTACCCCATTCCCAGAAACTATCTCAAATATCCCAATGAGATAATGAGGGAGCTTTTCCAACGCTACAAACCGTTTGGAGATAAGCCGCGGCGTCGTTTCAATGATAAGGTCAGTCTGGAGTTTGTGCATCACAAGCGCCAGTTTGCCTCCTTTGAGGAACGCCTGGCCACGCCCACAGGATTGGATCTCTATCCAAACTCGGGTTTCGTGTGCACCTGCGAGTGCAAAATCCTATGAGGAACAGTTGTTAGAATCTTTCTTTAAAATCCAAGCAAATGTTAAAGTCATTTCAACATTAAATTATGGGCTACGCCAACAATGTGGGTGTTGTTGAAAAGTTATTGGGGTTAGATCCACACAAATAATAGAAAAAGGTACAAATATGCCCACCCCCTTAAATAAGAGGGTATTGCGTGTGTGTGTGAAGTGCGCACACCTGGTTTGGTCAGCTTGGGCCGTTCGGCCTGTTTTTGTCAGTTTTTTGGTAATCATTTCATATGCAAATTTTCTGGTCCAGTTGTTGCCTTTGGGGACACCATTAAAAAAAAACGAGACGCTCTTCAAGACGAATATTCAATTTAATAAAGGATAATTTTCGATAGTAAGGTTTTTTTCTCTTATAATTCAAGTGGTTTTTGATTGAATAATGCGTGTGAAAAGTTAACATAAGCTGTTGCTGATTGGAACTGATTTAGCCTGAACCTTTTTGTACCCTTGAAGAAAGTACTATAATTTTGTGCAGAAATGTGTAACGCATAAGAGACATTTTCGACCCCATAGAGTAAATATATTCTAGAGCAACATCAACAGCCCAGTCGTTATAGCCATGTCCGCCTGCTCGTCTGTCTAATGTCTGTATGATTTCCACGATATTTTTATTTACTTTATTTGATTTATTTATGAACAATTTAAATGGTAGTCTTTCAATATATTCAGATATTTATTAGATTTTAATTTGTAATTTATTGTGATCTAGACAAGTTGGCAAAAAGTGTTTAATTCTAACCTTCTAATATATTCCGACATTTAAACAATTTAGCATAATACTTTAGACTTAATAAAAAACAAGCATATAGAGTAGAATTTAAAGGCTTGGGTGCCTTAAGTAGATGTCCGTCCCAGAAAGGAGCTTCGTTATCTAGGCATCCAGACTAAGAAGTAATCGACTTTGAGATACCCTGAATTAGAAAAGCTTTCATGTCCAAAGCACGCGTTTAATTTGATAGATATTCCGTGAAGCTGTAAATCATTTGAATTCCTGGTTATTCGATATTCTATTGCAGAAGTGGTAGATTTTTTTTATCAACCCTTTAAAACCCTGTTTTTTTTTCTGTTGTTCATTAGCATAAAGTGCAGCTGCAGAAAAAAATGTGTGGTGTCATTTTTTTCCAGCCATAAATTTTCACTATGCAAATGCAACAAATAAAGGATGTGTTATCCTGGGCAATGTGGACGCGTGCCTCAGAAACTCTGCTTTCATATGCAAATGCTCGACGCATTGCCTTCAATTAACCTCGAACGGGTTTCTGCATATTTACTTTACATTACGATTTAGCTGACAGCTTGGGATTGTCTTTTATATCGATACATAGACTGGCAGAAATCGAGTGCTGTTGACGTCAGTTGGGGGCCAACTCATTAATTAATACCGAGGTTCGAACTACAATTGCACGCAATTAATAATTGATGGCGGCCAAAGGCAGAAATCGTTGAGGTTTCTTTTATTTTATTTTTTTCTTAGACAACTCAACGGTTCGGTTGGATTTGGTTAATGTGGTTTGAGTTTTGGGTTCTGGGTTGGGGGCTGGTAAGCAGGAAGTGAGGCAATGCTGCCTGGCGGCCAAATAATTGCAAGTGACAGGCGCTTTAATTTTTCTTCCTCTTTGGCAGCTTATTTTTAGACGTGGCCTAGCTGTGGGCGGGGCATCATCGAGTGGGGAGGCCCGGTTGCCATGTTTATGATAAACTTAATTCGGTGTAAATGAGCGGCCCCAATGAGGGTTGACAGCTGGTCTGGGCAGGGGGCTGGAGCCTAGCTAGGGGTTGGGGTAGCTTGCTGCTTACCACAAACTTTGGCGCTCGACCAAACTTCAAAAAAACAAATCTGTGCAAGAAAAGCAAAAAAGAAAGAGAAGAAAAACAACAACGAAATGAAGAAACAGCTGAAA